TCAGTTTCTTAAGTGTTGGGATTTCGCCCGTATATTCCGGACATGTCCTACGCTATTTTCCAAATGTCCGGCCAGGAATATGCCCAATCGGACATCAAGATATGATGAATAATATTCAGAATTTCAAAATTAATATATTAAACTGAGTGTATAACTACCACTCATCCCAATAATTGTTGAAAATAGGCTGGATTGATTAGGTAATTAAGTGATTAGCGTATTTATTGTATTATACCGTCTTTACACCTACGTTGTTTACCTGCTTAATCTGTCTTGTATTACTGACTTATTACTTTGTCAGGAAAGTCATCAATCTAATCTTGAACAGAAGTCATTGCTTCTTTTTTGTCGGACTTTTCATCAATCCAATAAGCGTGAGTATCAACTTTATCTACGTGATCACCTCGGTGGTGGAAAATTTAATCTCATTGATATCAACCGACACCATGTAGAAACTAGTCCTTGATGTCACATATTATCCTAATAGTATATAACACCCCAAATCAATGGACAGTCATTATAAATTTCAAAACCTCTGTCTATTGTTAGCTATTAAACCTTTAACTTATTTTCCGTAATGAAACTACTTCTTTTAAGACACCATATATAAATTCCCATCTACAGTGGAACTTTCCCGCGATCCCGATTATCGCACGAAAATCACTTACTATGTAAGGCAGTGCCTGTATGTGTTATATGTTAACGGTCACGTACGCCACACGACAAAGTTATGTATGCCTATTACAAGTGATTTAACTATTAATGTAATTTTAAAATACCATTTTACCAAAATGATTTTACATCACCACAAATAATTCTTATTTCGGACGCCTTTCTTCATTTGCTGACGTATAAATGAAGACTCGTAATTATGGGGGAATATTAATGGCGTGAATTTGATTGAAACAGGCACGGATCGGCAAATTTCATTCTATCGTACTACAAAAACAGTAATTTTGTAGGAATACTACTGACATAAATTTGAATACCATACGGGAATTAAATATGAATAAGCGGTTTCCATGCAAGATACACCCACATTTTGCAAGAGATGGACAGAGAACAAGCTAATTAAAAAACGATTTTTCGTACAACCAGGGGCCATCATCCAGTATGTTACAGTCTGACATGCGACAATATCAAAAGGAACCAAGATCTTTGGGATATAAAAGTATAATATAAAAGTTTCACCAAGTCGAATAAAATTTGTGACATTAAGAGGGACTACAAGATTAAAACGTGTTTTCTCGTATATTCAGGGATCATAATTCAGGAAGCTACGATGTGATATGCGCGAATATCGAAAGGATCCGAGATCTTTGGGTTATAAACATACCTTTTAAGTTTCATAAAAATCGGATAAAAATTGTAACCTCCAGTGTCCACAAGCTAAAAACGTGATTTTAATAGTGGTATGAATCAGTCTGCTTAAATAATGATAAGAGTTATACCCCTTTATTTTCCGTAAAAATGTCCGCCAAGAAAATTTTTTAAATCCCAACGCTAACTCATTTGTTTTTCAATATTTTCGAATGAGATATGGTTTGTCGATAGAGCAATGTGTGAACTTCAAATTGTATCCCTGATGACCTAGCGATTGAAGGTCATGGTAAAGGCTAAATATTTCATGGAAGTTAGGTATGTTTTGCATAATTGTCGACTTTCATCTGCTCTAACTCGACTGTTTTTCAAAATTTTGAATTGAAATTTCTCATTTTTCATAGAAAAAAATGTTTAAATAATCAGGATCGACATTTTAGATCGAGAATCTGCGAAAATACATATTCACTGGGAGACGCCAGTAAACTATATTAATTTCGGAATTTTGAATATTATTCACCATGTCTTGATGTCCGATTGGGCATATTCCCGGTCGGACAATTTTGGGCGTTTGGAAAAAAGATTCGGACAAGTCCGGAATATACGGGCAAAATCCCATCACTGCTTCAGATGCAACCTTCATTAAACCTATTGTCACAAATACAAGCTAATGGCAGTGAATCGCCATGTTCATCAAAATCGTGGACTAACGAATCACTTTCTGCTACTGCGACCGGAAATTCACATAAAATTGTTTCTAACAGCAAAGGAAAGTCCACAATTTGGGGACATGTTGGTTTTTGAGAAACTGACCACGGTGAAATTGATAAAAGTTATGCGATTTGCCCAAAATGTTATGCAAGTGTTAAATACTGTAATAATACAACAAACCTAACACTACACATGAAGAGACATCATCCTAGTGTTCTCAGTTTCCGTCCTGTGGCATTTTCAGAAAAGAAAGAAACCGGTGAGGACATGGGTATGCATATTGGAGGTGGGGATTGTGAGTCATCAGAGTCACTTCAACCAACTATTCTGGAAATCTTTGAAAAAAATACGCAGTTGTCACCCAGGTCCAAGAGATACGGCTATCACAAAAGCCATTACAAACTTCATAACTAGAACTGTGATGCAGTAATGACGGGTTTCACCGGTGACCGTTACGCTTGAACATATTTCACTTCCGGTTCATTCTATTAGTTGATCGGAATCAAATATCAAAAGTTTAAACAAACAACAAATCGTTTGAATAAATTACTGGTTTGAAGGCTATAAATACATATTTTGCCCAAATTACGTCATTTCCGGTGACATTAAAAATGTTAAAATGGTTTGGCCTAGTTAAAATTGACATTATGCATCAAATGGTGTCACTTTTATGAAAATCGAGTAATAATTGACACTTTTACAGGCAAACTAGCGTAAAAAGGGACTCATGCAAAATTGCCCATTTCTCGGCAACTGCTTATATTACAAACTAATTTTCACATACATTCTCTTTGTATGGATTATTGCTACTAGTTTATGAAAGTTGCGAAAAAATATATTAAAATATGAAAAGCCTGAATGGGTTGTAAATAGCTCATTTTTTCACCCTTTTTCACCTTTAAATCGAAATGACCCGAAAATGAAATCGAAATTAAAAAAAGTGAGTCCGATGTTTTCTGCGCCTTTACAGGGCACACCCTTTCAGTTATACCAGATTTGACAAAAATAATATTTGCTTTCAAAAAGTGGTACCGAACTCTCAAAATTGTAGTTTTTGCTAAATTTACGTCACTTCCGTTGCCGAAAGGCAATTTTACTGGTAACAAAACATATGTCACTTCCATTACCGATGAAACCATTAAACAGTTTTCCACATAAGCATTGCACACATCAAATAAAATGGACGCCGAATCAACTAAATCCAGCAATATCAATTCATTTTATACATTTGTAACATGTAAGTGTACAGTACTTCCGGTGATAATGAAAATGTTCAATTAGTTTTATGAAATCAGAAATGGCATAAACTCACATGCTCTGTTTAGCTTTAGCTACAAATGTTAATCATTGAACTCAGTCAAGACATTCACCTAATGAACATCAACATCAAGTTTCAACATTCTACCTCAATTAAAAGCAGAGTTAATTGTTATGTTCTAAAGTCTTGACCAATCAAATTGCTTATTGATCCTTAGCCTAAACAGAAAATTCTCATCATCAAACTTGGTCAAGGTAATGATATAATAACCAATCAGATTGCTTATCTCTGCTTACCCTAAGCAGAAAATGCTCATCTTCGAACTCCATCAAGACATTCGCCTAATAAACACCTATACCAAGTTTGCACGTTCTAGCTCAATTAAAAGGGGAGTTATTGTGTTCCAAAGTCTCGGCAAATCAAATTGCTTACCCTGGGCAGAAAATGCTCATTATTGAACTTAGTCAAGGTAAATGATGTAATGAAACTATACACCAAGTTTCTTCACTCTTACTTAATTAGAACTAAAGTTATCGTAAGTTATCGTGTCCCAAAGCATCAACCAACAAATTGCTTATCTCAGCTTACCCTAAGCAGAAAATTCTCATCTTCTAACTCCAAACTCCATCAAGGCATTTACCTAATAAACACCTACGCCAAGTGTGAACATTCTAGCTCTATTAGAAGGAGGGTGATTGTGTTCCAAAGTCTCCACCAATCAAATTGCTTATCGCTTTGCTTACCCTGAGCAGAAAATGCTCATTATCGAACTTAGTCAAAGTTATGATGTAATAAAACTATACACCAATTTTCATCACTCTCACTTAATTAGAACTAAAGTTATTGTGTCCCAAAGCATCAACCAATCAAATTGCTTATCTCTGCTTACCCTAAGCAGAAAATGCTCATCTTCGAACTCCATCAATGCATTAACCTAATAAACACCTACACCAAGTTTGAACATTTTAGCTCAATTAGAAAGAGAGTTATTGTGTCCCAAAAAGTGTGACGGACAGACAGACCGACCGACCCATTTTAATAGTCTCCTGCTTTCCTCGAAAGGCGGGGGACAAATATAATATAAGGTGATGTTAGAAAGGTATATTGAGATCTATCATGATATATAGTAACATAACATAATATAATATAATATTGCCCATTCAACAGCCATTGTTGAATGATACCATCCCGCCGCAGCGCCTCTAATTTCCGTGATTAACAGTTAATTATCTGGCCCCCCCCCCCTACGGATCAGGAAAAAAGCATGGCGAAACTAACAATAAACCCTAGATCTATTATCTATTTTTCATCACCGCATTGCTGATAAACAGAAGTTTTAGCACCCCCAGAAAAATAGGTACATGTGCTTTTTCTTCACAAAAATAGGTTAATATTATCAAATACATAACAAAGGTACATAATGACACATTTACAGAATTTATATCAGAGATTTGAGTCAAAGGAGTTTCGTTACAAGCAAGTTTCACCAACGGCCAAATTTACCAATGCATCCAAGCGTAAAATTTTAGTTGATGTAACAAACACTGAGATTTTATTAAGACGGCACTCCCGTTATGGAGTCGTCATGAAAATTCTGTTGAGTGGCTGCTGAATACAGATTCTACTGTATATAGCAAATATAATATAATGTAATAGGATTTTAGAGGAGTAAATCAAGATATATCATGATATATAGTAAATTATATTATACCTGAAATAAAGGTATCATTCTACCCATCTGTACTTGAGCATCTCCATCTTCTAACCCTTGTTCTAGTTCTACAATATTAACAAATTGACATCAAACTCTTTCATCTTTAATATCTTGTGAACATTTATTATCTTGAAACTAACAAAGTCCTTTTTATGAAAGAGAGAAGGGATATAGTGAACTAGATACAACACTGAGTTATAGCTTGTCACCACCACCAGCTACTATTCCTTGGCCATAAATTAATATAATTGTATTGTGTAAATTGTACTTTTCTGTACTTTTCCAATGAATATGTTTTAAGCTTCTCTTGTTATACACCATAATCAGTAGCTATGTTTGTTCTACAAATTGAAAACAAGTAAGGTGACTGTTTAGGGCATTAACTCATTTTATTTAATTATTTCTGTAGTTTTGTAATCAGAGTTCAGCTTTTAAAAGTGACAAAGTAGTATTATACAGTCAATAAATATTAGAATACTCACCTCCTTCACCATAGAATAACAAGGCATTATAAAATTTATTTTCTGCTTCATATTTTAATGTTTGCAATTCACAACAAAGTGCTGCTAATACAGTAATAATCTTATTCAATATCTTATTGTCGGTCTTAATTAACTTTAATAAATTGGTCTGTTCATAAGGGAGAAGCTGTAAAAGAAATATGGTATAAGTAAGGCATATCAATTAATGGTATCAAAAAATACTGAAAAAATCATTACATTTGTCCATCTAAACTACCGGGCAAAAGAAAGTTGACACTCTGTGTACATGTTCCATAAAAAAGACAAAGACAGTTTTTATTTAAAGGCAACCGGTAAAGCTTCATAAATTTTTAAAATAATGCAGGTAATTATGTCAACATATATCCTTTCCATAAGTATAACACAATCCCGAATGTCAATATTAGCTGCCACAGGAAAATTTCAAAGTTAGCGATTTCCGCTGTTCTCAATGAGTAGTCATAACTTTCCGCCAACAAGCCAACAGTAAGGCTGATGTCCCCGCCGAAATCTTAAAATAAATAGATGACACATATTAATTAATCGCACATTTATTTTTTTCAAAAGTCTCGAACAATCAAATTATACACTAAGTTTCATCACTCTCTATCAGATAGAATCAAGATTATCTTGTCCCAAAGCATCGACCAATGAAATTGATTAGCTCTGTTTAGCTTCAGCTCGAAATGTTAATCATTGAACTCAGTCAAGACAATCACCTAATGAACATCTACATCAAGTTTAAACATTCTACCTCAATTAAAAGCAGAGTGGTTATGTTCCAAAGTCTTGACCCATCAAATTGCTTATCGCTCCTAAGTCTAAGCAAACCAGCGGCTGCCAGGCAGGATACGCCCACATTTTCGAGAGATGGATAGAGAACAAGCTAAAAAGAAAGTGATTTTTCCTACAATCAAGGGCCATAATTCAGGAAATTACAATTCGATATGCGCAAATATCGAAAGGAACCGAGATCTTTGTGTTATAAACTTACATTTCAAGTTTCAACAAAATAGGATTAAAATTGTGACCTCTATAGGGTCCACAGCCTTGATATACCATATTTTTACGCTAATTGAGAACGAAGGGCGGCCATTTTGTCTGTCGGTTTTGGGCCGATTTTCACGAAATTCGAACTCATCCGTCCTTAGGGTGTAACGGTGATACAATAATACGTTTTTTTAAATCGGATAAAAATTATGACCTCTCTAGGGTCCACAAGCTAAAAACGTGATTTTTCGTACAATCAGGGGCCATAATTCAGGAAGTTACGATCCGATATGCGCAAATATCAAAAGGATCCAAGATCTTTGGGTTATAAACTTACATTTCAAGTTTCAACAAAATCGGATAAAAATTGTGACCTCTATAGGGTCCACAACCTTGATATACCATATTTTTACGCTATTTGAGAACGAACGGCGGCCATTTTGTCTGTCAATCAGGGGCCATAATTCAGGAAGTTACAATCCGATATGCGCGAATATTGAAAGGAACCGAGATCTTTCGGTTATAAACTTACATTTCAAGTTTCAACAAAATCTGATCAAAATTATGACCTCTACAGGGTCCACAAGCTAAAAACGTGATTTTTTCGAACAATCAGGGGCCATAATCCATGAAGTTTCGATCCGATACATGCCAATATCGAAAGCAGCCGAGATCTTTTCGGGATAAACCTATATTTCAAGTTTCGTTAAAATCGGATAAGAATTGTAACCTGTAGAGAGTCCACAAACAATTGTGGACGGACGGACAGGGGTGACGGCATAATACGTCCACATGAAAATGTGGGCGTATAAAAATTCTCATCGTCGAACTTAGTCAAGGTAATGATATAATGAATCTATATTTGGAGAGGAGCCACGGTGGCTAGGTGGTTAAGACGCTGGCTCGCTAGCCTGGAGGTCGGGTGTTCGATCCCTGCATTGGCCGAGAAAATTCATCTGGATTTTCCGACGTGGTTTCCCCTTGTCAGTGGTGCAGAACGGAGGGCCTGACAAGGACAGCTGTCTAGTCCTTCGGATGAGACAAAAAACCGAGGTCCCATGTATACATTGGAATGCACGTAAAAGATCCCTTGGCAGTTGGAATTCGATATAAGAGTAAGCGATAGTGCCGCTGCCCGGCCAAAATTTCCCTCATAGCACACTGTATGGCGTATGCCCGTCTTCATTAGCCCAGTATAGGAGCAGAACAGTAGGACCTTAAACCCCATTTCATTTATATTTGGAGATTCATCGCTCTCACTTCATTATAACCAAAGTTATCGTGCCCCAAAGCATCAACCAATCAGATTGCTTATCTCTGCTTACCGTAAGCAGACAATTTTCATCAACAAACTCCATCAAGGCATTCACCTAATGAACACCTACACAAAGTTTAAATATTTTACCTCAATTAAATGGAGAGTTAACGTTATTGTGTTCCAAAGTCTTGACCAATCAAATTGCTTATCGCTCTGCTTACCCTGAGCAGAAAATGCTCATTATCGAACTTATTCAAGGTATTGATGTAATGAAACTATATACCAAGTCTCATCACTCTCACTTAATTAGAACTAACATTATCGTGTGCCAAAGCATCAACCAATCAAATTGCTTATCTCTGCTTACCCTAAGCAGAAAATGCTCATCTATGAATTCCATCAAGGCATTGACCTAATAAATATCTACACCAAGTTTGAGCATTCTAGCTCAATTAGAAAGAGAGCTATTGTGTCCCAAAAAGTGTGACAGGCAGAAAGACGAACCCATTTTAATAGTTCCCTGCTGTCTTTGAAAGGCGGTGGACAATAAACAAGCTGTGATTCGCGGTCGTGTTAGACCTAGGAAAGGATATGTTGACATAATTACTTGCATTATTTAAAAAATTTATAAAGCTTTTCCGGTGATCTTTAAACGATGAATATTTTATTGAGAGGAACAAGTTTCTGATGTCTGGAGCAAAAATCCAAACATTAACAAATTTAGTATACTGGCCACAAGCCAGGGTTGAAAACGATCAATGTGGTTTAGATAATTAATTACACACACATGAGTGAGAAACCCTTGAATAAGTCCTTATGTAGTCTGATAATTTGACAAGACACAACATTAATAGAGTGTGTGGCATCGATACATGCCAAAACGAGTCACCTCATGGATGTCGTCACTCAGCTGTCTTATGACATCATTGGGAATCCTTTACCATGCTTGCAATAAAGCTTGCTCAAGCTGATGTCTGTTTGCAGGAGATGTCCCTTGGCTCATTTGCCGATCAAGATGATCCCCGAGGTGGTTTTTAGGGTTCATGTCAGAGGTACATGTTGACATGGGCATTATAATCAAAATATTGATGTAATAAAACTATACACCAAGTTTCATCTCTCTCACTTAATTAGAACTAAAGTTATTGTGTCCCAAAGCATCAACCAATCAAATTGCTTATCTCTGCTTACCCTAAGCAGAAAATGCTCATCTATGAACTCCATCAAGGCATTGACCTAATAAATACCTACACCAAGTTTGAACATTCGAAACAGTGTGACGGAAAGATAGACGAACACATTTTAATAGTCCCCTTCTTATAATCGGAAGGGGGGACGAATAGGTCTCTGTCCACATTATGATTTTCATCGCCAGTGCAGATTTTCAGGTTTATATCCACATGAGATTCTGGACAATACGATGGCAAGCTTGTTTCTTATTCTACTTATCCGGAACTGAATTGGGACTTGGAATAAGAATTGCCATTCTTCAAGCGCCAGTTTTTAAGCCAAATCTATTTCACTTGTGCACGAAGCGTTCCTCAGTATGTCACCTAAAGTGAGGCAGTTGTTCCCTTCTGTCGAAGCTCTTCTCCGTCTAACACTGCTGAACCATGCTAGTTCCTGTTCAGCCGAGCGATCCTTCAGCACGCTGCACCGTATCAAAACTTGGTTGCGCAACTCTATGACGCAAAAACAACTGAACCACCTGATGGTGTGTGAGGTGCATACTGACCTTATTCATGATCAGGACCTAAAGCATGTTGCCAAGCAGAGTCTCGATAACCGGATAAAAATTGTGACCTCTATAGGGTCCACAACCTTGGTATACACTCTGCGGCTGGAGTTTGGGACTAGAATTGCCGAAAACGGCGATAAAAACTCCCTCTTCTGCGGCGGAATCTTGGAGAATCGCTAGCGAAACGCCAGCTATCCAAATCACCGCGAAATAAGGAGTTTCGCGGTGTATTACAGTGTTTCGCGGTGGAAAACGGTGAATCGCTTGAGTGCCGATATTATCCCGATTTAAGCATGTTGAAAAAAAAAGTAATGTCTTTGATCTTTGGGGTATATTCTATGCCTGGAATAACTTGAGGTCTGAAAGTCAAGGCCGGCTTTGAATATATACAGGGAAATTTGGGGTTATTCTTCTGAAAGTTTTTCTTTAAACCTGTAACAGGTTATTCTTCCAGGGTAGGTTTTTTTTTCTCTATAAGAAAACATGATCTAAGGTTTTTCTTATGGGAATTCTGGGATATTCTCATTTTGCGTACATGTAAACATAGACGGTTTATAAGCAAGATAAAGTCCTTGACTTCGGTTATGCTGGGGAAGAAAATCTTCAGAAAAAACCCTCGACAGAAAAACCTTGGCCTGCTGGCCTCGGTTTTTCTTTTTCTCAGGTTATTTTCTTCAGTCTTTCTTTCCCCAGCATAACCTCAGTCTCATGCTTTATCCTACACTTCATTACTCGCAGCTTCAGTTAATCTAAATCAATAAAGCACAGCGTCATAAATCACCCCACGATGCACTTAACGGTAAGTCACGTGGTCAGAAACGCGGGAAAAGATTGGTACTATATTCTTATGCTGCATTATTCGGCGAAAAAGTATTTAGCAAATCTTGACTGTCACCGGTATATGAGAATAATGCATTATGTTGCATTTAAACGATATGGGTGGGAGGGGGTACACTGTGAAGGTCACAAAAGTGACAGCGCCATGTATTTGTTATTTTACAAATTATGTATACATAAGGAATATTCTTACGGGATTTTGCGCAGCCGTAGATAAATCTCCGCTGTGACAATATACATCTACTCTATGTCGACCAATTCATTTCGGTGGAAGCGGATATTGAATAAAGCCATTTCACACACACAGATGTGTACATTACATGCG